AGGGGAGGGGGAGGTAGTGGGCGGGAGAGAGAGAGAGAAGGTAGGCGGCCAGGGCTACAGCAGGGCGCGGCCACGCGGCCCCTCCCGCCATGCCGCGCACCGCCTGCTGGGAGGGCTCCGCTCCGGTCGGCGGAGAGGGAAGGACGCAGGCTGTCCTGCCGGGCTTGCTGCAGGGCGCTCCCATCCTCCGCGCCGCCGCCCCCTACAGGACGGCCGGAGCGGAACAAAACAAAAGCAGCCGTGCCACCCTAGGATTGGGCGGAATGCCACCTCGTTCAATCTGCCGCCCCAAGCACCAGCTTGCTCAGCTGGTGCCTGGAGCCGGCCCTGATGGGAAGGGTGCACATACCTACAGCAATAGCGAGAGCACTTCTGAGAGCAGGCCAGGTGAATTTCTGTCAGGTGTGCAGCTAAAATACCAGCTAGTAATGGCACATAGGGAGAAACAGAACTATGGCCAAGCAGCACTCAGTGTCTTCTGAACTGGTTTGATCTTTCACTGAATTGTGACACCTGAACATGTTTAAGGGTTCAGGAACAAAAGTGGGTGGCACAAAATGCGTGAATTATGCTGTGGTGGAGTCCTGATAGCTCATAACAAGGCCTTGTTCTCATGATGAATCAGACTAATTCATGTATCCCTTCCCTCCTCATAAAACACTGCTGAATTCTAGTCCCGTGGAACTAAAATACAAAGATCAGATTCGGACCCATATTTTTTTTTCAAATTCTGAGGGCATGTTGGGACTAAAGGGTTTGGTTCAGTCCATTGGAGATAGGTGTCCATTATGAAGTTTCCAAATGGCTCTAGATACAGATCAGAGGTGTTTTTTTTAAACCAAAGTTCTAAAACCAGAACATCCCTGAATTCTTTATCAGGCCTGTGTCTACAGGAAAATTTAACAGGATGCCAGATTAGTTTGAGACTAAGTTAACAGCAACTATTAAATGGGGAAACAAAGTGGAACAGAATTTAGATGCTACAGCTAGAAAGACTTTGGTTTCTGTAATATTTTTTATTTCTAGTGCAAGCAAGGCTGTAGCTGGAGTATTTCAGTCATACAAAGTGGACTACTGTGTGCAAAAATACTCAGAGGAAAATGTAGAACGCTAGTTCAACGTTTCTTTCCACTAGAAATAGTTATCAAAAATGCTACATCATTCATAGTCATAGAGCAGATTGTGATATACGATGCTTTTCATTGAAAGACTTAATGGTGTGGATCTTAAAGTTACATTGGGCAAGCTACAATCTCAGCTAGATACAGAAGAACCTCTGACAATGCAATGCTGGTTAAATGGTCTCTTGTTCTTTTCAGGTGAAGAAGATAGCAGCAGAATATTATGACAACCTTCCTCAGCACCAATCTTGGGTTCGAGTTCTCTGGGATTTTGTTTTTGATGACACCATTGGTCCTTACTCACGGATTAAGAGAATATGTAAACTAGCACCAGAAAACCAATAGATTTGCTTTAGTGTCTTCATTAATGTTAAAAAAAAATCCAATTTTTGTGAACTTGAGTTTTCAGAGCTAAAAATGATCTGAAGTAATATTTCTATGCACTTACCTTTTCTGTAGTACCAAAGGTGATGAAATATTGAAGGAAACCACAGGCACTGTTTTAGAATACTGTAAATTTTATTAAAAGGATTTTTGCTTATGTAACATTGCTCTTTGGCAGGATATCACACATGTATGTTTATAGCAGAGGCAACATAGATGCACCATCCTTTGTATCTGGGTGAAACTGTTACATTTTAAATCCACATTAAACATTTCCCCCCCCTTTTCATCAGGACCATGCATGTGTGGCACAAGATTCAGTTTAGACCTGTTCTGTGGTGCAGAATGCTTCTAATCTTTGGAGGAATGGAGACACATACTTCAACAGGTGGTTGGCTTGCCTTAATAGGTCAATGCAAGCAGGAGGCAGCCAGGATTCAAGAGCAAAAACTCAACCCCTTGCTTCCTTGGATGGATGAGGGCTAGGGCTGTATTATACATGCTACTTCAAGTACAGTCATCTCTGAGCTACATCTTGGTTTCTGAGCAGATTACAGCTGGGTCAACAGCTGCTGCAATATTGCTGCCACATCATATGGGATTGGGAAGGCAGGGATAGACCCAAAATGCAGTAGGTGGAAAAACCCCAGGAATCTTATTACCATGAGCAAACACAATGATATGGTTTGTCACATCCAGTGAAGTTGTGCTCTGGACAGTGACTGTACAAATGAAGATGGAACTTCATTTCCTATTCTCATCTATGTCAGATCAACTTAACCAATGGAGTGGAGAGATTTCTTTTCAGTTTGCCAAGCACACTCCCCTTGAGACATCAGTCCTGATGCTGCTGAACACGTGAGTCAGAATAAAACCCAGCTCATTCAACCTTCTCTGTCATTAGCACTGCAGGGCCAACCTCCTGCCTGTAATGTTTGTAAGCATGATTCAATACATATAGAACCATATCCCAAGAGGAGATCAGCCACAGCCTTTCTGGGGCTAATGCACTCAGGGAAAAGCCATATGCTCCTATTCTCTTGGATGTGCAAGCTGAGAAACAGGATTTCTAATACCTTGAATTAACATTTAACATCTTACAGGACAACTGCACTATGTGCTGAACTGTTTTCATTTCACTTAACAGACTAGCTCAAGACGAAACACTCTTCTACAATGTTACCTTACTATAAAACATCTGTGAATCATTTCATTTGTACAGAAAAACAAACTGTACATAAATGTCTAAACTTCTGCTATTTCTAAACATAGCCCTCCCTCCATTCTGCTTCACTCTGTCTTGCTGTTTTCAATTTACGGTATAAACTAGCCTGGCAGATTTCTTAAAGAGACTTGTGGAAGATTAATAAACTGGAGTGCGATTAAGTAAACTTCTAACATTACAAGGCACCCTTACCCTCTCCTAATTTCTTGGCCGTCTTTGATTACTATTAATCAAACCATCCTTCCTCTGTTGTACCAGCTGCTACCTCATTACTTGCCTCTATGCTGCTTTTTCTGTTAATTTAGCACTGCTCAAAGAGAGGCCAGAAGACTGAATAAAATACTACAGGCTCTTCAGCTTGGGGACCAGCTGATTTGACTTCACTCAAGAAATAAAAAGTTTGCACAATTCAAGAGATCTGGGCTTTTAAAAAGCTGACTGCAGGAGCTACTGCTTCAGTAGCAGCTGTGGATGGAAAATGACAGTTTTAATAAGAAGTGAGCTCAAACTGTTTGATTTCTCTCCTGCCATTCAAAATGATCAAGGGCAGGAGGATAGAACAAGGATTCTGCTCTTGTAAATCTTAAACAGACCTAAGTTAGCAGAAATTCTCAAGCCTATACTTGGCTGAAAGAATGGCCCCTACTTATTGCACAAGTAGTAAGAGCTGAGCGGTCAGGCACTGTTGGACTACAGAAAATAAAGGTCAAGTATTGGGTACCAATGTTGCCTCCAGGACTGCGGTGTGACAACGCAGAGGTTGAAATGCCCAATTTCAATTGAAATGTTGTCTAAAGGCAGCCCCTAGGCTTTGCCTGTAGTAGGGGCATGTGAGCAACCATGGGAAATTTTTAGAACATCAGTAAAGCTGCACCAGCGGGGCTGCAGTTATTAACTCTGTCACCCACCCTTGCTCTGAGTAGGCTGTAGCCTTCTTAAAAACAAAACAACAAACCCTTTACAAATTAAAAGTCAGGGAATGGGGTTGGGGTTTTTGTAGGGGAGGAGGAGGGAGGCAGGAAGGGAATGAGTGAGAGAGTGGAGGGGTTAGTGATGGTCTCAGTGGAGCAGTGGGACACTGGGGACCAACTACTGGTCAGTAAATGTTACTGATGACAATATGAGCTTGCAGGGCTGTGACAGACTCTGGGATGCAGTATTTCCAGATTCTAGTAGCCTGTTTGCAGTCTGGTCCTGGTCAGCATAGAGGGTGGGCAGAGGTAAGACCCTGTGCCTCAACTGCTGCAGGAAGATGGGGCTAGCAGCCAGCTGTTCCCCACCTGGAGCTGGTGCACAGCTGGCATTGCACTGCTATGAGTGGTCAGGGAAAGGGGCGTAGGTAACGAGTTGCCTGCTTGGCCAGATTCTGATGTGCAGGTTAATGCTACATTGACAGGCCTCTCCTGCTTGTTTTATTAAAAATGAATGTTACATGAGATTTCACAACATGCAGGCAGCCTTGCTCTTGTGTTCTCAGCAGAGCCTCCAAAACCAGCAAGAAAACACACCACAGCAACACAGTGAAATTAAAGTGCAAAGCTAGAGCAACTAATGAACAAAACCAAAAGCAGGGCCATATGGACAATAAACAGTTTATTACCAATATGAACACAGATACTGTGGTGCACTGACGTACCGTTTTAATATTGTGATAACTCTGAGTCAAAGACCTTGTCGGCTGACAACTAACATGTCTCTGTTTCTTCTGGTGATGCCACAATACATTTCTGTTGGCAAAGGGTCTTCATTTACATTGCAGACTACCAGTAAAATTACTTTGAAGTCATCTATTAAAAGCAAATGGTTCACATGTTTTCTTACCTACTACTAAAAAGAAACATAATACATTTAAATAAGCAAATACAAAATACAAAAAAGGCTGACAAATCTGATGTGCTGTGTCAGATGAAATCTAAAAAATCCAGAAATTTAAAATTTAATATTTTCTTTAGATTAAGACTTTTAAAATGAAGCAACTCCAAGGCAGCAGCAAGCTTCAAAGTGTGCTCAGTCTGCTAATAAAAAGGGTTTAAGAACAAAGACAGTGCAGGTGTCCTCTTTCACCATCTTGCATGACCTTGGTACACTTAGAAATGATCCAATCTTCCTAGCATCCTTAGTACCTCGCAGATGCTGTGTAGTCATTATGTTGTACTGATTCTACTCAACTCCTGCCTTATGGCTGGAAAACCAAACCAAAAGGTTAATTCAGACAACTACTCCCAGTGACAGGCAGTAAATACTCAGAGCCAAAGGCAGAGGTAGTGTAAGTTATACACTGGTAAGAGGATGCGAGTAACTTGCATAGCAAAGGGGGCAGAAGGGTGGGATTGTAGCTGGGGAAAAACAAGAGGACGCAGTAAGAAAGTGTGCGTGGAAGGTTAGAGGGGTGAAAGGGCTGTTCTATTTTGTACCTTCTGGCACACGCCTAATTGTTGCTTTTCCTGTTAAAATTTTCCCCCGGGGCCTCCCAAATTGCACTCCTTGTGTCTGCTCCCGCTCCCACTGAAATCAAAGGCAAACCTCCCACTGATTTCAATGGCACCACAATTAGGCTGCCTCACGCCACCATTTATGTTGCTCCGAACCGCAAATCTTAGTCAAATAGTATCAATTTTTTCAATGCCTTTTAACAATACATTATATTGATACACACACAAAAATAAGGGTCACATTTCTATAATAGTGTTTAGTGCTTTATAAGTTAAGCCTCACACTGCCCTTGTGTGTACATATGTACAGGTCAAGTATTATAGCATAGGTCATACAGCCAGGTGGGATCAGAGCCAGAGAATTCTGACTCCCTTTCCTCTACCTAACAAGTGGACCACACAGTTCATTCTATGCTAGTGCTGATGTGCATGGAAAAGTCTTACACTTCCTATTGACAGTTGAAGTCTATAGAAATTCGTATTCTTTTTATGTAGTTTCAAAATCATTCTAGAAAACTGTATTTTGCTAGAATATGGTTAAAAAAACAAGTTTATGAGGCAAACAAATCTTCTGAGATTTAGATTATGATCATTGCAGCTGTTGGGAAGGGGGTTTTGGCCCCCAGTGTGGGGATTTCTCAGAACCATCACCCTGATACACTAATGTTCTGATATGGTACCACCTATAATTAATAATACTCATACAGCAAATTAGGGGTGGAGTTGTAAATACTAAAACAAGATTTCTTCTTGCTTCTTTTCAGTTGCCTTAGCAACAAGTTCAATGACCCCAGCAATTCTGTAATGGAGTGTTTTTATTGCTGTATAAACAATTTCCTTTGGTCTTGGAACAGTACTAGGTTATGGGTGTTTTCTCTGCTAGAACAGCAGCCTGGATCGGAATCTAGTCAGTTTGTTTAAGGTGTTCATTAAGTAAATTCAAAATTTACTGAATGAACAAAGCCACACACATGCGGAGAAACTCAGTTTTGGTCTACGTGAGGATTTAAAACCCTATTGTATTTACCACAGGTGAGAATTCATAGCAGAGCAGAGTAACTGAAAGACCAAGGACAGCAGAACTTCCTTCTTTCTGGTCTGCATTTAAACCTGTGCTGGCTGAGCTTTGAGCATCTCAGTTAGATATGCATGAAGAAGTGCAATCTTTGTATTGCTGGTAAAAATCCCTTACATGACGCTTTGATGTACACACACAGTTGACTTTGATATCAGGATGTCAGGTAAAAGCTATGCCAGCCCCAAAAGGCAAAGCAAAACTGCTGAAAAGATTCAGACTGAATGCCTTGTGTTCAAGCTTCAAAACAGAGCACACACAAACAAGGCATGTAAAAATGCAACTGAGTGATCAAAACTCAGTATGGGCAGATACTGCTGTCTCTTGTGGTTCCACTCCAGCTTCTGAGCGATAGTCACATCCATACGTGTCACATCTATTTCATATCTACATATAACTAATACATATTTAACAAAGAGCTTCTTGGAAAGTAGTTGTAAAACTACTTTCTGAGGAACTCGCAGCTTTTATTTTCTTATGTGTTGAATCTGAGTGAAATCTCTCAGGATCAAACTTATCAAAATCAATTATGTTTTATTTCTTACCATCAATTATCTCTTCTTTCACTTTGTGTAACTCTCTTACAACTTCCTCCAATATTTCCTGATGAGACAAAACAAAAGATGTGTGTTCAGAATTCCATGTCCTCCATTACGGGTTGGCCCATATAGATGATAAAAACCCACTACTTCTGCCAGCTAAATAACTTTACTCCTTTAGGACCAGTGGTTCTATGTTCTGGACCTGTGTTCTGACTACCAAAGGGCTTGAGTTCTGTACCTGCTGATGTACCAGGGAAGAGGGAGTGGTGTTGCATTTTGCTCCAACAACAATGGGACAGTTTCCCTCTGAGGTTCAAGGAATCACTATGATCTACTCTGATCTCCTCCATACTAGGAGCTTTGTAAGTTTGGGCAAACAGAAAAGCAAAAAGTGATGTTTCTATCTTCATTTAGCCTGAACAGTTGCCCTTCATGTATGACAAACACAAAGGGGAAAGACAGCTACCCATATCAAATTCCCTACGCTCAAAAAACCCACTCACTCACTTGTTTCATTCGATCAAAATCTAAGGCATCCATAGCCACATCATTGCTGCTGCTCACGGGCTTCATCCTTGAGAAACGGAAACAAAGGATAAAAGAGCAAATCAATTCTCAGCAATGTTTACTAAGCCAGGTGGTGTTTGCTACTGTCATTATGATTAAAGTATGTTAATAGTCACTGGCTGCACAACACCTAGATCAGCAGTTCTCAACCAGGGGTCCGCAGCCCCCTGGGGGGGCCTCGAGCTGGTTTCAGGGGGCTGGGGGCCCTGCAGCTGAAGTGTGGGGCTGAAACCAGGAGCAGAACCACAGGGGGCCCTGAACCCCAGTGCCCCCTAGGGGTCTGAAGCCAGGAGTGAAGTCATGGGGATGAAGCTGGGTGTCTCCAGCAGCACGTTGAGGGGTGGGGTGGGAATCTCAGAAAGAAAACGGTTGAGAACCCCTGACCTAGATGAAATCCCAACACACAGGTCTTGAGTAGGTTAACTTTTTTAAAGTTCCATTACTCCCTCTTGTGCCATTCAGGAGTATTTTGCAGCCAGCATATCTTGCGAAGCAAGCAGCACTATACTGCGACAGCAGACTGCAGCTGATCACTACCATCCAGCAAAAGAGCTTGTTTTCTAACCTTAAAATGCAGTGGAGAGGCTGAGGAGTGAATTAAAATGTAACACTTTATCCAAAGAGTTCTGATCAATAATATTAAGTTCTAGATAGTTCTGTGGCTACGTTAGGGTGCAGTCCTCATGGCTGTTAATTATTTACAGTGACAAGGCGGGTGAGGTAATATTTTTTTTATTGGACCAACGTCTGTGGGTGAGAGAGACAGGCTTTTGAGCTTACACAGAGCTGTTCTTCAGATCTGAGAAACGTTCTCAGTGCCCAGACCTGAAGAAGAGCTCTGTGTAGCTCAAAAGCTTGCCTCTCTCACTAACAGAAGTTGGTCCAATAAAAGATATTACCTCACCCACCTTCTCTCTCTAACAGCCTGGGACCAACATGGCCACAACAACACTGTGTAGTTGGTGTAGCAGTGCTGGAGGTTTGCATGATCAAAGTCTGACTCCAACATTTGAAAATTAAGTCTCTGCTCCACACCTGCATTTCCTATAAAATAAACACTGCTTTGAGTGCTCAGGACATAGTGAGCTGTTAAAATAATGGTAAAACCAAAAAAATGATGTTTGCTTAACCTAACCGTGTTAGTGAAGGTAGTCAGCAATCCATCCCATTGCTAAGTCCTGCCTTAGGCAGGCTGAGTGGTAAGGCTGTGCAGCACAAGCTGTGTTTCTTGGCCCAGCGTCCCAAAGACTTCAGGTTTGTGTAACTACACTTGATTCCTGTCTCTTTTCTATTGCCAAGGGCACCACAGTGGACATTATTGAGAATGCTGACCGTTAGAGAGGCTTGCTTTGTTAAAATAGGCAGTAGAGGTTATGAACCCTTTTTTGAAATTGGTGACTCTTCATGAAGTGTTTTAGAAAAAGATCAAGTGGCCTATGCCTAAGGAGAACATTTCAGCCTTGGCTCTGCTATCATCTTTATGTACAAGTTCTTTCTTAGGCAAGTCTTGCATTGATTCCAGTGGCCCTTTAGCCCAAGAAAGAGCTGCACAACCAAGTCCTTTGTGTTTCCTAAATTCTGATCCTTATGCTGCTCAAATGAGCTATGAGCAAGATTATGAACGGGGTTTTCTGAAGGGACTCAGTGGTGGTCTAACTCTGGTTGTGGTCAAACGCCCACTGACTCTGCTGGAGCAGAGCTGGGCCAACAGGAAGTGCTTCTGAAAATCCCACCCACAAAGTGTATGAGTGAGAGAACAAGCAGAGTAGTTTCTTGTGCTAGAACTAGAACAGAACGTGAATGCACTTCCCACTGAACATCCTCTAAACAGCAGTGGTCTTACAGCAGTCACCGCGTGAGAACTTGGTAACTAGCTTCAGCTCAGCATTTGCAAGGACAGGGAATACTATGATCATCTGTATCTAATGAAAACTGGTACATCTTTAATGGCTGACATTGTATGGTGGATCTGGGCTAGACCCAGGCAGGCAAATTTTGCCTTTAGTTACACCTGTGCAACCCCACTGAAGTCAATGAAATGTGGGGCAGGATTTGACCCTGGTCTTTCACACAGTACCCACACACATCTGCCATCACCCACTTATTTTTCCTATGTGTTAACAACACTGTAGCACAAAATAACAGTCAAATAAGGGAAAGTGTTTGTTACTGAAATGAATAATTTAAAGCACCTATGTCCCACCTCCAACCCCTAACTTATCCCAACAACGCTCAGAGCTCTATACGATAGCCGCATTGTGGTACTGGCCAAGGACTGGAAGAAAACCTCTTTCTAGCTTTCCAATGTCACACTTTAACCTTTCAATACCTGGGATCAACATATCGTGCCTGTAATTTGGCCATTTGGACGGACGAGCTTTGTTGGACTCCTCCTTTTGACTTTCCCGCCTACAAAACCAGACCCATCCTGTCTCCTCTTTCCTGGGTGCCCTCTCTGGTGGCTCCTATGCTGCAGTCAGCTTCATTTTCCCTTCCCCACTCCTCGCTGCACATGTTCCTTACTGCATGCAAAAATAATTTCTCCTCTCCTGGGTGCAGACCCCCAGATGGATTCTGCTTTTGAGTGTTCTCAGATGCTGGGCAATGAAAGTGTCTCCTGTTAGGAAAGATCACCCTGCAAGATCTGTTGAGGAGGGTTCTTCTGGCTGCTAGGTGGCAAATAGACCCACTAGGCAGGCCCTTGTCTTCCCTGTAGCACAGAATACTCCCCATTCACCCAGGAAACAAGAGACAGGGCCCTAATTTAGGAAAGCACATAAGCATCACTTAATCTGAAGCATACGCTTAAGTCCCATTGACTTCAGTGATACTTAAGCATATGCTTACTTGAATGTGGGCCCAGGGATAGAAATCATATGGCAGTTCATGGCACTACCACTCACTCCCTGAGCCAAACTTTCTTTGATATTAGGCATGGCAAATTCACAACCACTCCGCCCAATTGAGACCAGCCTCTGGTTCAGAGTTAGTAAAGCAGCAGACAAGAGCAAATCACAACAGGTTGAGGACGGTCATGACAAGGACAAATGAATATTAGTTGCTGCACCAACAATGACATGATTTCCCAAAGGACAAGCTGAGACAGTTAAGAAGCCAGATCATTTTTCAGTACCTAGAAGGTAGTTGGGATTGTGTGGGGCTCTTAGCTTCAAGACTCTTCACTGATGGATTTCTATGGCAATGGAATGAAATCAGACATGAATTGAACACACGTTATGTAGATAGCATGCGTATAGTCCAGACTGTGCCACTGTTCTAGAGAGTAACCTGTGCAGCTCACCTAGAGAGTAATGAAGATACAGGCTTTTCAACAGAATTGCTTCTTTCCCATGGCTTCTTCCCAGGGTCTATAAAGTAAGAATGAAGAATTACGATTAATTCTGTTTTTTTCCCCCTTGCACAGTAAAAACATGAAACTGTTTTTCTTATATATTTATTTATTCAGCTGGGATGGATGCTTTACAGAGATGTATCCACGGGAGCAGATAGGCTAGCAATATAGACTGCTGCTTTTAACTGGGACAGTATTAGTAAAAATCTATGCAGAGGAGGGGCAATGAAATTCGATCCCCTTAAGCTAGTGCCAACCAGTTAAGTGATGTTTAACCTCATACTAAAAAGATGTGGAGTTCTGAGTTTTGCTTTTTTAATACAAAAATCACTCAACTAGTCAAAGAAGAAATATGGACTAAATACTTTGAGTATAATTTTAATTCAATTACAATATTTTCATTTAGTTTTTCTAGACTTCTTTTTACATTTAAAAGGGCCTCTTCTCTTAATTGTGACAACTGTTTAATCAAAATGACAGACATGCAGATCTCCAGCTGGGGACTGGCCACTAGTGGTCTCCGGATCCCCCCTGGTGGTCTGCAATATGAAGCATTTTGAGAATAAAGCAGTAGGGTACTGGGGAGCTGGGTCTACAAGAGGCTCATGTTTACAAAGTGATCTATAGAACAAAAAAAGGTAGAGGATTCCTCTGATAAACCCAATTAAGTAGATTCTGCTGCGTGTGTCTAATATCATGAATAAAAATGCTACTTACACTTTATAATGTTTAGTTCAAATGTCAATGGGACAACAGAATTGTAAAGTATTCGGATATCTCAGAAGGGATGGCAGCATTACAGCTATGCAAATCACCATGGAGGATTTCATATGGTCCAAGTTACAAAATGCCAAACCCACTGTATATTTTTACAAAACACTCAGCCAAAAATACCTGATTTTTCCTGCCTTGGCATATCTAGGAGGAGTATATAACCTTCTTTCCTGAAGTACCTTACTATGAGCCCAGTCTTTCTGATTCACGTAGACCGTACATAAGTGAATAGCCCCACTGAAGTCAATGAGATACAACTTGTGTGTGTGAGGATTTGTAGGAACACATGAGCCCCCCCCAACTACAATTCTTAAGAGTATTACTCAGTTCAAGAGCTTAGAAAGCCCTAAAATCCTACAGCTCATCTGTATGCACCCTTTCGATCTGATCCTTCCTCATCGTCACAACAAGTAAGCAAACAAACAATGCCTTCTGTGTTCAAAAGTGATGCTGGTCTGAGGGTCCCAAAGGACTGACTAAGGCCTGGTCTACACTAGGAAATTAGATCACTATAACTATGTTGCCCAGAGTGTGTGTGAAAAATTCACATCCCTGAACAACGCAGTTAAACCGATCTAACCCCCGTGTAGACAGCGCTATGTTGATGGGAGAATTCTCCTGTCAACCTAGCTACTGCCTCCCAGGGAGATGAAGTAACTACGTGGACGGGAGAAGTCCTCCTGTGGGCGTAGGAAGCATTGTCACTGAAGTGCTACAGCAGCGGAGCTGCAGCTGCTATGTTTTAAATGTAGATAAGCCCTAAGTGCTCATTTTATTGGAAGGGTTTCCCTGTAAGGCTTACAAGGCCCACGACCGTCAGACACAGCTTGTATCTGTATGACTTGTAGATGATCTGTTATTTAATCTTTTGTTCTCAACTTCATCACTGAAAAATCACATTATGTTAAGGGCCCAATTCCGTTAGGTGCTGAGCCTCTCTAACTTCCTTCGTTTGGCATGGCACCTTGTGGGATCAGGCCCATTGTGATTAGCAATTGCATTAAGGGCCAGATCCTCAGCTAGTATAAATCAGTGCAGCCCCCCTTAACTCCCATAACAGAAGCGTATGCAGCTACAAGCCAACGGGAGATCTGACTATTAGGAACCAAGGTCCATATCCCCAAAGGTATTTAGGGGCCTAAATTGATTTCAGTGTGTGAGACAATCTGGGCCCAAACAACTAGATTCACCGTTCTGTCTTTATGCTGATCAGAGAAGAAAATTCACATTCACCCTTTATTGCTCAAAAGAGATTTTAAAACAAAAACTATTTATGGACGTTCTGTTCGTAAATCCCCCTTACTCAGAGCTAAGATAATGAACCCAGATTCCAATGGTAAAATGTTTCACTGGATTAAGGAGAAGATGAAGAGTGCTAATAATTAGATTTAATACCTGAAGAATTCTGCTGCTGGCTAGGGCCTCGTGTGACTGGTGAAGGCGAGGTGCTAGCATCTTCCTAAAAAAGAAAAATAAGATATTTCCTAAATTTCGACTCAACATTTTTCAAGTGAACAGTCACTGATGGATGTGATGGACTGTGCTCTCTGTTCATCCACAGCACACGCGGTGTCAGTGCAAGCTTCTTGCCCATATGCCTCAACCCTGACGTGAGGGGACCACCTCGAAGGTGAGATGGTAGGTCACTCCCAAGTCCATTTAAACTCTGGTCGCTCCACTAAAACCAGCAAGGAGGAACATTCGGATGGGTGGTGTTTTCTTTTTCTTTTTAATGGGAACACTTTTCTACTAGGAACTCAACTGAAGTTCACCAACTCAGGTCACTGAACAGAGGGCAAACGATAACAATGTCCCATCCCTACCTACCAACTAGGGCTGGACTCATGCTCGTGACTGAAAAGTGTTGGCTGCCGTTGCCCATTCTTTGAGCTAACCAATCCCCAAGTTCAGAAACTTTCTGTACTGCTGGAGAAATACTGGACTAGATTCTGGTCTGTTATCCCCATATAATTCCACTGATTTCAACTGGATTGCACAGGAGTAAGTGACAACAGGATTTAGACCAATCTCTCCACTAATGATGGTAGTAGCAGTTTCAGTTTATTGAGCTATCCTAACTAGGGCATTAAATATTTCTTCGTAGAAATTGGGTTGACGTCACTGGGGTTTACATAAGGGTAACAAAGAGCAGAATCCAGACTAATGTATTTGACCTGTAAATATTATTTAAGAGCTTCCTATGACAAAGCACTAAACACGTCAGCTAAAATGAAAAAGCAGTCAGTTAGTTTGAATGGCTGCTGGCTTTGCATTAGGCTCGATAGAAGGTACCAAAACAACAATAAAGGCATTGCAAAGTTGTTATTGTTGCACAATCAATGGGTGAATTCCAGAATTATCACACTAAGGAAGGCCTGTTAAAATGTGACTAAACTAAAGCTCTGAGTGGAATATGAGGTAATGGTAAAGCAAATGGCAAAGCAGACTGTAGCATTTAACAGCTGAGGGAGAGCAGCATCTGGATAATTGTGCCTTTCATTTCTAGGTAAATGATTCAAACCCAGACTTCAGGAAAAGCTGTGAGCAGAGTGGATGGCCATAGAGGCAGCCTCAGCCCTGCTCACCTAGCTAGGGGTTACACACAATGGCAGCCTTCGTACTCACGGAGTGCAAGCACCCTCAGCACTGCAGTTGCAGCAAGCCTCTCCAAATGGGGTGGGAAGCCCCGGGGCCATGCCCCAAAGAGGAGAGGGGAGCAAGTGGTGCTTTGTCTTTGAGGCTGGTGCTCTCTGAAGCTGTAGCGGCGGTGTGCCTGAGGCATGATGCCTCCGGACTTTCCTGCATTGGCGGAGAGCCTCCACAGCATGGGGCTCTGTCTTAAAGGCACTACAAGGCCATAAGCCAATAGCAACAGCGCCGATGGGCTCGGTCGCCTCAGCAGAAAGGCAAAGGACTGCATGGGAGTGGTGACTGCACTACTCCTGTCCTCCTAGACACGCTGCCTCTAGGGGATATCTACACTGCAATCAGAGAGGTGACTGCAGCATAGGTAGAAATACCGGCTAGCTTTGATCTATCTAACTGAAATGACAATGGCAGTGAACCCACAGCAGCTTGGGTTGTACAAGCCTGCCTGGGACCCTGGGTATGTACTCACACGGCTAGTCCATGCTGCCACGGCTTTGCTGCTATGGTCATTTGGGCTACCTAGATCAAAGCTAGCTCAGGTATTTCTACACATGCTGAAGTCACCTCTGATTGAAGTGCAGACATACCCTAGGTATGGAGATTGGTGGGGAAGGTCTCCTGGGCTGTAACTGTTCCGTGGATAAACAAAGGACTTCAGTCTACTGGCTGATAATGCGGCTCCTTTCACTTTAAGCACCAAGTTCACTTTAAAATGCAATCAAAACTGAAGCTCTCATTTAATCTTTTAGAGGACAACTAAAACATCCAGCACACGGACAGAACAGTTAAAACAGAAATGCACTGAAACTACTAGCCCCTCCAGGAGCCCAAATTTCACGTTGTCTGATCTACCAAACTGAAACAAGTGGACACTTGATGGTATAGAATGCATTTACAAAGATATGTTACAGCTTTTGAACAGCTCAGTGGCTAAAGTACTGTCCCCCTTCCCATTAGAAACCTGCTTTAAATGTAATCTGTCATCTGCAGCGAGCTGATTTTTGCTTTACAGAGGGGTTAAGTAATCTACTTTCCAAAGCCATCGTGTATGATGGATGACAGGCCAGTTCAGCTGATGTCGCTGCCCAGGGATGCAACAAGCTTGAACTAAAATATATGGAACAGATTTGAGATGAGATGCTAATAGGATTTACCACACACGGGGCTTTTCCTTTTGGGTGGCACAAATATTCCTGAGGGATAAATGAGGGGCAGCCTCTTCAACCTTAAAAACACCACTGTGAGCACAGTGCAAAGAGGCAACCACTGATGTGGTTTAGACATATCTGGTCTGTGAATAAATAAGAAGGGACTCTTGTTTCTAAGTACACTGGAGCAGCTGAATTTAGCTTGGGTTTGGTTGAATGTATGAACATTTGCTAGTCATTTTATTGTGTGTGCAGTGGGCAAGTATAGTGCTTCCAGCCTTCAAGCGATTGCAACGTATCAGCTAGTTTGGGAGACCCCTGTTTGCTTCACAGACACACAATACTGGTGAACGTTTCACTTACGTTTTGGCTTTCCTCTTCCTTTTTGTCAGCTGGCTTGTCTGACTGTGACGCTGCTTTCCTCCTTTGCACAGGGGTAAAAAAGTAGGACAAAGTCAACCCTTTAGAAATGCATTTCCTGCACAAGGCTTCAATCGTCATTTGAAAAGACTGATGTGTGCCTTGGTGAGGATTAGCTTTTACTGCTGTGGAATTTCTTTAGCAGAAGACTGAACATGTTGGCTGCACAGGATTTGACCAATGGTTAAGAATCCAAACTAGGCCTCTATGAAGCAGGATCTTCAGGTAGGGGACCAATATTTTGAGTCAAGGTACCATACAGAAGTACAGGGTTGTACAGTATAAAGGAACAGGGGTAAGGAAAATAGACATGGCATTGAGCAACTAAGAGACAGTTTCTTGCAAAGTGTAGGGCTGCTTCTATAATAAAAAAAACTGGCACATAGGCTACTAAGGTGGATGTTCTAATACTGGGCCAGATTATTTCCCCCCTAAAATCCATATGCCAAGTGGACTCTCCATGTACAGAACTCGCTCGTTCTGCCGCCCCCACCCCGACCCAGAGAGCGCAATCTGTAGGCCTGAGGATCTGCACGTGGGCATGGAGATGTGGGGCTGGGAGAAATGCACATTAACCCCTCCACACACACATTAACCCCTCCCCACCAGCCTCAAAGGGCATCCACAGAGCAGATAGTGCAGCCTGGGGACACATTTACATTTCTGATGTGCCACAATCTCCACTGAGTGTAGACTCGAGGGTAGCAAGGGGTGAGGGAAAGCTCTGGCTGCCTGGAAGCCAGGAGCGGGCCAGAGCCAGTACTCGGGCCTGGGCTTTCACATGGATAGCCCTGTGCCTCTAGTGGATCCTGGGATATTCTGAATGCCCCAAAGCCAATCCAAAGGCTGTAGAACTGCTAAGCCCTCAGGTTCATGGTACTTGTAGCATTCAGGGGGGTTAGAGAAAGTTAAATGAAGAATATTTGAGCTAAGACCAAGATTCTGTATTCCTTTGTCAGCCTGAGACAGGCTAAAGCATCGCTCTCTGCGTGGCTCAACATGGAAACAAGTTACAAACCGCTGTGATTTATAAGCAGGCTTGGAAGGATTCAATTTTTATCGGTAAATGTGGGTAAACATCAATTTCAATGTACACATAAACCGCTGAAAACGTATGTCCACGCAGAATAATCTAAATGTAGTACAGATAGGCAAAGTAAGAAAAAATGCTGCTTGGGAAGTTATTAAAGGTTAATTTAAGGCTATTTACTTTGTATATTTTGACATGTGATGTTGACAGCTTGTGATTTAAGAGTTATAAAGCTTAAACTTTTTGAATCTCAGCGTCTGCTGTCACTAAATAATTATTGTCTGCTCTCCGCCCCCCTGCATTATTTTGCACAACTGCAAAAATTGAAATCAATAAACATGTAAAACAATGCTTAAAAGCAAACACTGATATTCTGCTGAAATTATAAATAAAAACAAAATTGAATTCTGCCAAGCCTATTTATACAGGAACAATCCTGTCCTGGCAGAGGGATGGGACAGTTGCCTAATACGTCACTTCAGTCTATCTTAGTTCCTATGAGGGGCATGGCGCAACTTAAACATAGAAGGCTAGGAAAGTGGGAGAAGAAGGTTCTTGAAGGCCTGTGGCCGGTCTCCTGCTCTTGCCCTCAGGACATAGACTAGCACTTACATAGCTGGACTCTGCCAAGGGGCTGGAAGCGAGGGAGTCACGGCCCTTCCTCCTGGCTAGTAGTGTCAGCACAAGAGGAATTCTGGCTGAACTAGCCACAGTGTCTCTGGGAGTTCTTGCTGTTTAGGAGTTCACCAGCTCTCTCTAGAGAGAGGCTTACAAACCACAATGTAGCTCAGAAGAAAGCAAGTATTGTTCAGTTTCTACTCTCTTTTTCTTTTTAGTACATTAGTCACAATGATAATGTGATTCCTGAGGAGTGGGAGCATGCACATTCGATTCTCAAGCTCTGCTTAATGTCTAAAAAGCACTAGAGAAAACATACCACATTTCTATCCTCGGCAAAGCTCAGCGCCAAGGTCGGGGGAAGTGTGGCTTGTTGGCAGTTTTCATTTATTCATCCGCATAATTCCTCGCACTTACATGTGCTTTACATTTCCAAAGTGTTGTGCAAACATCATCTAATTAATCCTAACAAAAACACCCACTCTACTGTTCATACCGTTTTTTATATCAGTTTAACTCTACTGTCATGAACGGAGTCACTCCTGATTTGCACCAGCGTAACTGAAAGCAAACTCAGGCCCACTGCCTCTTCAAAGCATAACTCACACACTATGAATTGACAGTCTAGGTGCATCTGGGATCTTCCTTTTCCCTCATTCTTTACCCCTCACCTCCTTTTACAAGTGTTCACCCTTTTCACTGGGGCACAAACTTCATGACTGCCCTATTATGTGGCCAGCAGTAGTGAGCCCAAGATGTCTTCATGTGCAACTCAATTTAATGGACTGTTGCAGTGTTCTTGTAGCCCTGTTGGTCCCACAATATTAGAAAGACAAGGCGAGTTATTCACTCTCACAGAAAAAATTATAAAAGACAAAAACTCCATACTACCTGTGTGTGAACACTTTTCACAAAGTGATCACTCCACATCTGATCTCTCCGTCCTCATCCTCAAAGGAAACCTGAAAATCACTTTGCTAGACACTAAAACTTCTGGATTTAATAAAGACACTGGATTTATGGTTTATCACAATAATCTGTAACCCGCTTTTTGTCCTATAACTGCAGAGGTGTTAACTATCCACTTCACACTGAATGGTCTCTTACAATATGTGTTAACTACTTATGCTAAACAATCTATTCCACCCTGTTTAGCTGTGACACTCTGGGTATCTCTACACTGCAATTAAACATCAGTGGCTGGCTTATGTCAGCTGACTTGGGCTAAGGCTTCGGGGGCGGGCTATTAAACTGCTGTGTAGACATCCGGGTTCAGGCAGGATCCCAGAGCCTGGACTCCAGCCCGAGCCCGGACATCCACACTGCAGTTTTATAGTCACGTGATCCCAAGTCCTGTGACATGGGCCAGCTGCGGGTGTTTAATTGCAGTGTAGACATACCCACAGAGCACCTTTCCCAGACCCAAAGAAGAGCTCTCAATAAGTTTGAAAGCTTCTCTCTTTCACCAACAGAATCGGGGTCAATACAAGATATTACCTACCCACCTTGCCTCTTTGATGGACTGTGTGAGCTCTACGGGAGGGTTGTATTGTGAGAGTGCTACCTGGCAGCTGTAGGAAAATCCACCTCATCTGGAGCATAGAATCAGAAAGATTCAGGGATGTTTGATTTCCTACTTTAGATTATTAGGTGCAATGCAACTCCACATGCCACATGGACCTTGGCTGTGATGACTGTAATCCGTCAAATACTCCTCCACCTGGAGAAGCCACTTCATTAGATTTTTCTTCCACTAAACTGGCAGCATTTTTATTTAGTTTCTGACTCGGAGGCCAGCAACATCCACGCCACAGAAGGAAAATAAAACCCCACACAACTCTCAAAACCAAATTCCAAACCCCTTAGCAACTGAATAGGAAAGATCTGTGAAGGGATTTTCCTTCTTACTGTTGGCAGGAAAAGCCTCACAGATTTCAAAAACAGAGGTGGTCCATGTAAATCCTGAAAAAGCATGAAACTAAGATCTACCATGATGTGTGACTGGTGTGTATGTGTATTGGAGGTGGGGGACGGGGTCAAGGAAGTGTTTATATAGTTTTAGTAGCATTAATAACTTTACTGTATTTGATATCTCCAGGGAATTACCATAGGCGCTGACTCCATGGGTGCTCCAGGGCTTAAGCACCCGCTGAAAAAAAATAGGGGGTGCTCAGCACCTGCAGGGACAGATTAATCTTTTGTGGGCCCTGACCCCTGCTCCGAAGCCCCGCCCCCACTTGGCCTCTTCCCCACCGAGGACCCACCCACGCTCAGCCCCACCCACCACTCGCATGGGGAAGGGGGAGTGGGGAAAGCAGCAGAAAGCAGCACCCACTGGCAAAAACGAAAGTCAGTGCCTGGGGAAATGACAATTCCAGTGGCCAGAGGTCTTGGATCTTCTAGATCCTTCTGTGGACCAATGCCAAGAAAAGCACTGCTGGGGTGACGGGCTGATGTTAGATTTAAGTTCTGGTATATTGCAGAGAAATTAATGGGGCTAGAAATGATAATGGTTTGAGAGACAGCACTTCATTCTCCTTTGTTTCCACTTCAGTTCTGAAATGATTATAGCAGCTGCTATCATAGGAATCACTAAGTCTAGAAAGCAATGCTTTATATCACCTGAAACCTAGCTTCTCAGATACTGTGCCTACCCTGGATACATTCCATCCTTAGCATGCAGACCTACGCTGAAAAATGGGGATTCTGTTGGTCTCTCAATGACTTTCTTTTTTAAAATGAACTCACACAATACAAAAGATTTTTTTCTGACTGCCAGCCCTGCAAACACAACCTGCAACACAGGAGTCAAGTTCTCCTGGCACCTCGTACATCATCACCAGTAACAAAGTTCTGCAGGTCACAGGAAGTCCTCACTCACACCTGTGTAACTGCACTTTGTTCAGATGACATTCTCAGTGGACACCTGTGCAATCTTACTGCCTTCAATGGGTTTGCACAGGTGGAATTTAGTAAACAATTCTTCTGACAACTCCCATGTGAGAACAGAACCTGTGGCTCACTCAGTCTCAGCTGTGTTGGTTGTGCAGTGCTAACAGGAGTAAAATGTAGGGAAAGCTTATTTTTGTCACTGGAGTGAGCACATATGATTCTGCATACACCAAAGGTCCAGATCTGTTGGCGAAAATAGATGCCACACTTAATTAGCCTCTTTCTTAGATTAGAGCCACACATTAAAGATGTACATTTTGGGAGGCTTAATACTGCCAAGCATAAGAGAGGGAGTCTTTCCTTAACATCTGGAGTCTGTCTATCCATCTGTTCTGGTTATTTATACAGCGCTAGTCACTGGGCCTGATTACAACTTCTAATATAACAGTTTTACTCTTCATTCTTTATTTACACCAGCACAAAGTGAGCTCAGAATCTGACCCACTGAATCCAGTGAATAACTATTTGAATTCAAATGAACCAGAGATAATTGTATATTTGGCATTTTATATTATTAATAACCAGTTTTACAGGACTATACATTTACATGGTGCTTTACAACTGCCTGTCTTGTGTGTGTAGAACTCTGGTTGAAACCAATAGGAGCTGGAGAGCTGTCTGGACTAATTGAATAAGAAACATTTTCTGCCCCAGAGAACATTATTTAGCCATTTCAAATCTGTTTGCTTTGTTACAGTGGATCTGTTCCTATTTATTCCTCTCCTCCTCTTCCTGCGTTTTTACTCTTTCCCCGTTTGCACTTTGTAAAACAATAAAAAATCCTTTAAGATAAACTCAAAAGCATCTCTGACACTTGTGAGCTACAGGCTGATAAAATGAACATTACAATGGAAGGGGAGGAGGGGGAGAAAAAGCAAAGAAGGGAATCAGAATGATGTGATTTTTAAGGGGTGATATCTCATGTCCTGCCAAGGAATAGAAACACTTGTGTGGACTTGCCCAAAGATATTTAGGACCAGTAACATTTCATTGGCACATATAATCAGAAAAAATAATTGTCAACGCCAGGTATTATGTTATTAATAATGGCCAAAGGATAATTCAAAGGTGTAAAGTAGTAGAGAGAATTTTTTAAATCTGTAAAGGATATAATGTTATGAGGGAATTATTTATTGTACAGGTTCTAAGATAGGTGGCAACCTATGGTGGGAGAGGTTTCTAAGGAAAGGGAAAAGGGAGGGGAAAAAAGAATAAACACAATTAAAATTAAAAATGTAGGCTCTAGTCCTGTAATTGGATCCATGCAGGGGGACCCTTGCACCCATGTGGATCCGACTGCAGGTGAGGCCCATAGAGAATATCCTGCTGGCAGTTACCTCAAACTAACCCTCTGACTTGCATAGGATTGTAGAGGAGTAACTGAGGGCAGAATTTGCTTACGTCTTGACAGACTTCTGGGTGAGATGTGCTTTGCTGGTTAAACTGGCCTGCACACAGAACTGGGCATCTATTTCCACTCAATCTTGTCTATGTTCTCTATGCAACAGGCAGTACATTTTGATTTCCAGCAGCATAGAGAAGCTGCAGTGACACCAAAAAGTCAGATGAATGCATCCTGTACTGCAGTCACTACCCAGTAAATATTCCTATGTCATTGCTAATAACAAACGTTAATTCCTCTGCACTGCATTGATTTTGGAAAGTTATTCTTTGGGAATCCAGGGAGCATGACACACATGTGCTATGGTGGGACTTATCTGCTTTCAATCCTGTGTAGACTCATCAAGGAATCTGCTTAACCTGGCATTCTAGCTGACTTGATGTATTCGCTGGGTAAGAAGTACAGTGACCTTTTATTTCACTACCTCAAAGGCTACCAATATGCAATCTTGTTACTGCAGTTTTGGATACTTTTTTTGGTCCATTCTACTCAATATACCCCACAATAATTATCTTCCTGGGGCTCTGTTAAAGCTCATTCCTTTAGAACACAGCAGCTTTGACGTAGATTGTAAACCAGCAAAGGCAGAGAGAAAAATCAGTAACTTCTAAGGCGCTCTCTCCCACAGAATCTGCAGGATCAGCTGGAGCAGCTCAAGCTGGCTTGACACCATGGCTGGCAATACCTATGCTTTTACTATGTAAAAAAAAAAAGGGGTCCAGGGAATAGCACCTACACAAGAATAGCAGCGTGGCAGGCTGTTAACCTGATCTCTTGAACTTCCACAATGCAGAGTTTTGCCAGTTCCAAAGAGGCATTGGAGCTACCCAATTGCTAGTAGCTATCGAAAGCGTATTGTTCCACAGTCTGCTGGTGCACTTGTTCTAGAGTTTACTTTAGGACAAAGTACAAACCTTTTTGCCAGTAATTTATTCATTTCTTCCATTAGTCCTCCTCCTCCTCCTCCACTACTTGTTCGATTGGCATCGCTCTTAGAGGCCCCACTGGGGCTGGAGCCTCCTGAACCATCTTCTGGCTTAAGACACAAATCGACATTGCAAGTCACCAGAGGAATTTATTGCAAGCACCTGCCCTTTCTGACTAGCTTAGATAATCACTAGGAGCAAAGCACCATGATTGCAGCTTGCAGTCAGAGGCAGAAAGCACAATGGGTCAGAATGGAAGCAAATGTAATTCAGGTCAAACCCAGTGGCTAATTCACATATTAGGATTGGGAAACCCACTGTGGATTTAGTAAATGCCTGAGCAAATGATGAAAATGACAACAAAATGATTCTGAATTTCTGGTGAGATTATGCAACCCTTACTCCTCTCAGTGAGCATCTACTCACGCACGGGCTGCACAATCAAGCCTTTATTTGATAAGTCTAGAGTAGTTTTAACTACTGATCATCATGGTTGATAGCATAATACTAGTGAGTGTTCTACAGGATACATTGGAGAGAAACCAATTATGTCTTAGTCATATGAGAAATCGATGCAGGCACCTGCTAGTTAATCTTCACTGCGCAGTGAGGATCAAGTGTGAATTACTGTAAAAACAAGTCAGGGAAAAAAAAAATCAACTGGAAAATTTCCTCCTGAAAATTACAAAACCAAACATAGAAATCTGCTTTAAGGACTGTTTCTAATGGACAAGTGGCCACTTTAAAGGCCCAGCCATATTGCACGTGCAGCTCAGGAAAAGGCAAGTGCAAACGGTCATAAATAGCCACTGAATGTGCACCTGCAGTAATTGTGTATATAATTAGGTATGCAACTATGCACCCAACTTATTTAAAAATTTGACTCTAGGAGTGAAATCCTGGCTCCACTGAAGTCAATGGGAGTTTTGCCATTGAATTCAGTAGGGCCAGGATTTCACCCTACAGGTTTCCAGCCAGGGGTGAAAGTAAGGCAGTACGGGCCGGTACGGTGTACCGGTAAAAAGTGGCCACCGGTACCGGCCTGTATAGCTGACTTTAAGTCGCTGCCCCTTTTGCGCCCCCCGTTGGGGAGGGGGGGAGCAAAAGGAGCAGCTGCCCTGGGGCCGGCAATTTAAAAGGACCCGGGGCTCTGGCTGCCACTGCTGGAGCCCCGGGCCCTTTAAATTGCTGCTGGAGCCCTGGGTGGCGCGGGTCAGGCAGCACGGATGGGCTGGCTGGGGGATGTTGACCCCCCCAGCTCCGCCCCTTCTGCCCAAGGCCCCGCCCCTTCCGGGGGAGTGGGGAGGAGCCAGCCCCGTACCAGTAAGAGTTCAATTTTACTTTCACCCCTGTTTCCAGCACAAATCTTCCTTTTAATAACAGCCTGTACAAGCAACTGACTTTTCACGGTCCATGGAATGGTCACTTAAAACACATTTCACTGGGCTTTGTAGCGAATTCTGACTATCCATGAAATAGATTAGCAGAAGGTTAAATAAAACTAGGTCAAGCATTCCTCATTCTCCAGCCAAGGCCAGACTGTGTGAAAACCCCAGTGCCACAATCCTTACCCGTTGTACTCTCCTGAGTTTGGCACCAGCCAGGGCTGCTGCTAGTCCTGACATTGACCCATCGTCAATGCTACCCCCGTGTCCTCCACCTGCCGGCAGTGGAGGTGGGGGAGGTGGCGCTGCTCCTGTAGGCGGAGGAGGTACTGGCGGGGGTGGCGGAGGTGGGGGCCCACTGGACGAAGCAGGGATTGTGGCAGCAGTGGAAGGATGACCAGGTGGAAGGATGGGACCTGAAACATACAGAAGATTAAATAAAAATAAAGAACATTCTTCCCCATCTCACATACAACCTGTTCTCTTGTCATTGACAGTTGGGTGAACGAAGGTCTAATGACATACAATCAGAAGAATGATACTTGGTGAGTATGTCAATGGTACAACATCTGCTTTTTAGTTATCATCGGCACCTGTGTCCTTATGCAAAACCCCTGTAACATATAACCACCACCTATCCCTTCCTCTGGTCAGGCTATTGTTCTGTCTCAACACAGAGTACACTTTCTGGTTTGCTGTTGGGATCTCTCTTCTTCATTTTAACTTTTCAGATGCAGATAAATAAATGTTATCAACTAACTCTGTGAACGTCCACTTTTCAGATAAAATCCTGGGCTTTTGCTATACATTTCCATACAACTTCCATTTAATGAAATTTGTGTGGCTAAATCCTATGTCAGCCTTTGAAAATTAAGGGGCAAGTGTTCAATTTTAGCCATGGTGTATTTCAACAGAAGCTACTGCGAGTAGCAGCGTCCTTCAATGGACAGATTAGAATATACCTCTGGTATATTTCTCCTATTTATAATGGGACAACAGAATGAGTATTCCATCAATTGTACGTTACCTAGAATTACTCCACCTCATCAAAGGCTTCTGTTGCTATTCAATTACAAACTCAATTGTGCAACAAACATTAATTTGAAAGAGGGTTTTTTTATTGGTTTAGAGGGAAAATTTAGGAATGATATTCAGACAATACAGCCTGATTTTCTATCTATTTAGTTTTGTTTTTTTAATAACGTCACCCATCATTGTGGTCAGAGATAACCTCTAACATTATGGGCACAACAGTACTCCTGCTAATAACTATGCTCACAATGCTGCTCCTGCAACGAACTGTGGGTGTTATTAGCAGCATGTCAGCTATTTCCCTACCTGTTTGGGCCCACAGATGAGATAGCTGGCAATTCATTGCGAGCACAGTGAATTATAGGTGCAAATCTACACCCACAAAATTAGAGGCCAAGCTGAGGCCTGGCTGAAAAATAATTTAGATTATAAATTGACCTCACTCAAAAATAATGGGCAAGATACTTCGTTGGTGTAAACTGGAATAAGTGTGTTGAAGAAAATGGATATATAGTGACCTACACCAGTTGAGGCTCTGACCCAACAGAGGCAGTTGAAATATCTGGAGCAGGAAATTTGTCAGTGGAAGAAATATACAAATGTTTCCTAAGTTCTCTAGGCACATCCATTTAAGCACAATATGGTTATATAGAGAGATGGGTCCAACTTGCAAAACCTGCTCTGGATTTTGAACAGGCACAACACAGAGCTGCTCTAATCCAGGCATTTTAACAATACAGGCCATATGCAAAATATACATTCATACGCAGGGCTAGTCTACACTAGAAAAAGTTTGCTGGTTCAGCTATCCTGGCAAACCCTCCTAGTTTAGATGCAACTTATATGGCTGAAAGAGTGCTTTTGCAAGTCTAGCTTATACTAGTTCCCCAAATGAAACAAGCCACACTGGCAAGATCACTTTTTCTGCATCTACACTAGGCCTTTCATCAGTAGAAAAAAACGTTGAAAATATTACACCCTTAACTGTCATTACTACACTTTCAAAAGTTTCGAGAGTAGATCTGGCCTCAGACTTTAAAAGTATTATCTCCCCAAAGATTGGAGCATTTGGATATGAGGTTTTGTGTCAAGTCCACCACCAGTTATAGCACTAACCTTCCATACCTTTTCCCTAATTGTCTGAATTATCTGGTGCAGTAGTATTAGCCTTTGATTACTCAAGAGTTTTTCCCACCTATTGTCCTGGGGCAGAGCAAACTGGGCTTTATGAGCAATCAGGTCAAATCTAAAGCTCTTTTAATGGTTATAACTAATTCAAAACAAGTACTTACTCAAGTGGGAAATGGTTGATGAAGTCATGAAAGGAGGGGTCTTCTTGGACAAATTCACCTCAGATACAGCAGCATAAGCGGGAGGTAATGAAACAAAGTGTGACATGGCCTGGTACAATTGCTTTGGAGGATGAGGTGAAGGTTGGGAGGACTGAAAAGAAGCCTGGATAAAGGAACCAGCAGGGCTGGTTATAACTGGTAGCTGAGAGATGGGTACAGTTTCTAAGTATGAGAAGAAAGACCCATCCACGCTTTTTACCTGGGTTCTAGAGGAGTTTAAAGGAATTTGTGTGGCTAGAGGTTCTTCGGGTTGGCCATTCAGGCCTATCTGAGGTACATTTGCAGAGGCTTCTTGGACTGTTATATCTGTAGATCCCCTGATTCTGCCATTCTGGACAGGAATCACAGGAAGGACCTCTGGAATATGCGGCTGCAGGACAAAACCCTTCTGCACGGGGGATGTAGTGGTTACAGGAGAAGAGGAAGACTGAGGAGAGTGTGAAAGAGAGGAACGTCTAACAGGCTGGTGAGGTGCGAATGGAAAATGGGAAGGAGGCTCAGGCGGTGGGGACAAAGAGATCTGTTTGATGCTTTGTGTTATAGTCCTGTGGTTTGGCCATACTGGAGAGGCGAAGGAACCCGGGGAGGGTGAGAGCTCAGAGGCAGAATGTCTGTGACGAAGCTGTGGGAATTCTCTGGCTCTGTTAGAGGATTTGAAAGAGGTTTTACTACTGGACTCGGGGATGGTGGATGCTGAAGAGATAACGTTGGCATAAGATGGCGGTGGAGGGGCAGCACCAGCGGAAGTAGAAGCACTGTAGTTACTGTAGTCAGGAGGAGGAGACTGGCAGTGGGAGGGGGAAGAAGACACTTTTATCTGAAGGGTAGAAACTAAAAGAACAGAAAAGAAAAGTGAAAAGAATAAAATGGGCATACAGCAAGGAATGAAAACAAGGCAGAGTGGTTAGGAGACAAGGAATTAAAAAGTAAATGAAAGCAGAAAATAATAAATAAAAAAGGATGGTGCAGTCACGATTTTAGTGATGTCCAGATGACCGCAGCAATCGAGAGCTGTTCCTTCCTTTAGTTCAAAGCAGTGACACACACAGCATAGGCTAGAGTTTTTGCTTTGATGTTTGTAAAGCTTCTTCTAACCCCACAAACCATCTTGAGTCAGAATTACACACATTACCTTTGTTCCAAGGACAATGGCAAGTGGCACTTGGGGGAGGAGGAATAGCTCAGTGGTTTGAGCATTGGCCTGCTAAAGCCAGGGTTGTGAGTTCAATCCTTGAAGGGGCCATTTAGGGATCTGGGGCAAAAATCTGTCTGGGGATTGGTCCTGCTTTGAGCAGGGGGTTGGACTAGATGATCTCCTGAGGACCCTTCCAACCCTGATATTCTATGATTCTATGACACTCTGAACATAAAGACAGGCACACAGGTTGTGTACAGCACAGAGATGCCTCCATACATGCAACAGGGCGCTCAGCTGGAAATGTCACTAGCTCACATATCATGCCTACGTCAAGGTTCCTCACAGAAGCACAGCCAGGGTTTCATTTGTTTTAACTGACACAAAATGGCACACAGTTGTGTGCGCCCAAATTAGGAATTCAAAGCCACCGAGCGTTATTCTGTATGACTGCCACAGGTGACATTTTCTGTGGACACAACTGAGCTGCTTTTAAATAAAAAAAGCTGAGCAAAAACTAATCTTTTCCCCCAGATTCACAAAAAATTCTGGCTTCGTTTGCACATATTTTTTCACAGAACCAAAAGCCAGAAACTTCTCTTCCCACTGCACCACTTATCAGGTTGCTAATATATTAGAAAATATTTTCAATCCATTCAGTAAATACTTTCCTACTAAACTTACACAAGCCCTCTCACCTTATTACCCCAACTAACGGACTCTTACAGTCAGATTCTCTTCTGTACACCTCGTGGAAAGCTGGAAGAGCCAGGCACAGACAGCTGATCTCTGGGTAGGGGGATCCTATAGTGTCATAGAGCCAGTAGGGTGATTCCTACGCCACCCACTCTCCCTGTGGCTGTGTAGAAAGTGTGGCTAGGCCTTTTCTGCACCACAGCAACATCAGCCCCTTGGCACTGTGGAAAACAGCATAATTTAGAGCAGCCTTTACACTGCTCAGTCTTAAGCCAGTCTCATAGCTAGCATGGGACTGGAAGAGCACAAAGCTTTGCTTAAATCCATCTTTACACGTCCCATCTGAGTTGCGCTGTGTGCTCTGAAGTTTGGACCTTAAACTTCAGTCAAATCTGTGGAAAAAAATGCAGCCATGTTCCAACTTATTAGTTTAAGTCTCTAACTGAAAATGCTTTGAAATCCCATAATGATTATTGCTATATTTAGCAGGCCAGTTATTTCTGTAATAACACATGACAACCACCAACAGCTAGAGGAGACAGGAAGGGAGAGGAATACGTTTGCATTGTTTACAGATACATTGCATCGCATTGTTTGATACATGCCTGTGGTAGAGGTTCTTCTTTCCAGAGATTCCTGGCGCTGTTGCTGCTGCTCCATCACTTGCCTAAAACAATGATTTTTAAAACATTCCAGTTTTATTTTTTACTCTTTTTAGAAAATGTTCTATACACTGATATGGGCCCAAGCCATAGAGTTTGCATCTGGGGGCATTAATCAGCACATTATAGAAATAAGGGCTAGACCGAAAGGGCTGAGGTGAGTTCTGATCTCATTTATACTGGTATAACTCCACTGATTTCAGTGGAGTTTCTCTTGATTTACACCAGAGAAAGTGAGATCAGAACAAGGCCCTGCACTTGGAGCATACTGCAAATACTTGTAACAGAAGCTTGTAATTTATGTGATAATTCTATAATGGATATTCAAATGTTGAATAGCCAATGAACTTAAAGTAAGAGAGTACTGCAGTGTCTCAGATCCCAATCCAGCACAGCTCTTAAGCATATGCTTAACTTGAAGCAGCTAAGGAGTTCCACTAAAGTCAATGGGATACCTAACATGCTTAAGTTAAGCACATGCTTAAATATTATGCTGATATGGGGCATAAGGAACGGCAGTATACCGATAAGAATGTAAAGAAACGTGATTTGTGTTTAGTGGTTGATTGTACATAGCCAACTGCTTCACACAGCTGTATAAAACAAAATTCCTTTATCACAACCATAGAGTTTTTCAGGTGAACAAAGTATTGGACACCTGGTTAACAGAATGATCATGTGATACTTTAAATACCACGAGCCAAATTTTGTCCTCAGTTACTGCTGAGGTCAAGAGGACCAATATTTCTTGACTGTCTCAATAAGCAATGACCACAAAATTACTAATGAATGAATTTTTAATAGCCTTATGATCATGAGCAAAGTGTTAATTTCAATACTTTCACATGTCAAGGTTTGCAGGATTGGGCTCTTGGTTGGGAATACATAATACAGAGCAACCTATTAGAATAGTATCAATGGTTTCATAAAACATTCCAAAAATAGTCTCCATTTTACTGAGACATGCACTTCCCCAAATTTCCCACTAGAGGTCCTCTCTTTCACACTAACAATCCTGAAGAAATATTGTTCACTATAATTGATATAATCTCTGACCTTTCTTTGGTTAATTAAAAAGACGAACAGCTTAAAACTAGAGTAACAGTTAGCTATTTTAGAATCTACATGGATATGAACTATATATTTCAACAACACTTAGATGTGACTCGAATTGTGGAAGGAAATTATATTTATATTATTACACACAGAAAAGAATGTTACATTTGCAAAGTCAGGCACTTAAAAGTCAAAAGCACTTAATTTGGTCCTCTTGTGTATATGCATTATGATACTGTCTGTAATTATATAATCACATAATATAGTTTCCACAGGACCCCAGCCTCATTCTATGTACAGTCAAGTAACCTTAACTATAGGGGGTGCTATGAATTAATATGCAGTGGCAGCTTTAAATAGGTTTTCTCTGTTATATTTTATACGCATTGTATTTTAAAATGCATATATATTTGATTTTACTGTGGAACATATGATTTTTACTATATGTAACAGACATGTCTAGAAAAATGACATTAGGGTATGTACAAATAAACTTAAATGCTTTAATTTGCGTGATAGACATTTCTATATTTTAGGCTCCAATTCAAAAGCACTGGATTGGCCCATCCATAATTAGGATTATTCATTATGCAGTGATCAATCTTGTACTAGATTCACAATAGAAACCTGGCATGTAACTCCGCCATATAAAGTCACAGGGTATGTGTGTGTGTGTGTGTGTGTGTGTGTGTGTGTGTGTGTGTGTGTGT